CATACAGGTAACGAGTGGGGGACAGAAAAGCTTCTTACAGAAGACGTTACAGGTCTGTGAGAGCCAGAGATTTTCCTTGTTTGAGGTGACCAAATACTTATTTTCCACCCTAATTTACGAATAAATTCTTTACAAATCCTACCATGTGAATTCATGGATTTTTTTTCACATTCTGTCTCTCACAGTTGAAGTGTACCTCTGGTGCAAATTACTGACCTCTGTCATCATTTTAAGTGGGGGAACTTGCACAATCGGTGGCTGACTAAATACTTTTTTGCCCCACTGTATAAACCTAGTGGGAGTTTCCCCCCACAGAGGGACAAAAGGACCCCCTGATGATCCTCTAATTGCCTGAGCCAAGGTGTGAAACTGGGCGTGGGTCCCAATCAGCCAGAGTTTCGGGTGAGTTCATTGTGAAACCTGGCCCCACCTTATCATGCGAATTCCTGAGATGAGATGGCCCAGGATGTGAGTGGGCGTTAAGGCGTCTGGGAAGGGATCTCAAAACTGGATTATAGATGGCAGAGAGTTGGTGTCGTAAACCCCCGCCTCTGTTCAAAGATGGTCGCTCACAGTGGACATAGATGCTCCTTTCACTCCTCTTTCAAACCATCTGTCCTCTCTGTCCAACATGTGAACATTGGCATCCTCGAAAGAGTGACCTTTGACCTTTAGATGCAGATGGACTGCTGAGTCTTGTCCTGTGGAGGTGGCTCTTCTGTGTTGTGCCATGCGCTTGTGAAGTGGCTGTTTGGTCTCTCCAATGTAGAGGTCTGAGCATTCCTTGCTGCACTGTACAGCAAACACCACATTGTTAAGTCTGTGTTTTGGAGTTTTGTCTTTCGGGTGAACCAGTTTTTGTCTGAGCGTGTTGCATTTCAGATCCAGCAATCTGACCTCAGGAATTCGCATGATAAGGTGGGGCCAGGTCTCACAATGAACTCACCCGAAACTCTGGCTGATTGGGACCCACACCCAGTTTCACACCTTGGCTCAGGCGATTAGAGGATCATCAGGGGTCCTTTTGTCCCTCTGTGGGGGGAAACTCCCACTAGGTTTATATCTGGGACTCTCCACCATTTGACCTTAGAACTGAAGAAGCTTCTCGGATGAGAGGTGAAACGTCTTCAAGCAACTTAAAGAAGTCCAGACGCTTTTCTTTGCAAGCTCCTTTGACTACGATGACCTGGATAACTGAGAACCTTCACAGGTTTCTATTATGATATTTTCCCACCGTATATAAACTTAAGCTTCTTTGCTGTTATTATTATGTTACTGTTACTGTTAGTATTAGTACAAGAGATTCACATAATGCAGATCTACTTCAGCAAGTCATTAAAGCATCAGATGTAGGGGTGGTTTTTGATTATCGATTAAAATCTATTCTAATTTGGATAATGTGGTATCGAGTCTTTAAAAATCCTGAATCGATTTTTAAATATAAATTTATTTTGCCCAAAACGCCAGAATCTCAGGTTTGGTGTGCTGCTGACATCAGAGGTGAATGAAGAATATATGGTGCAGAATATAACTGCACGCAGCTCCAGCTATTGGGCCATTTGTTTCTCGGATCCTGTGATCTGAGGGGGGTGAAACCTTTTACATCAGGCCCTAGTGTCTTCTTTATCCCATTGTTCATGCTGTGAATGATACTCAACTCTGCGTCGTGCTGTCTGTCTTGCGAGGCATGGTCTGATGTGTTGAACGCTTAACACCGTGTTCTGGTAATGGGGTGCTGCCATAACACTGCGCTGCTGTTTCCACAGCTATTCATGATGCACACGCTGTGATAAGTACACAGCTCAAGTAGCCTATGGACTATTGTCTTCGATAATGCAAGTGATGGCATCCTAGTTTTGAAATCACCAAGGAAGAAGCCAGGGCTCATCCTTTGGGCTCCTCTGATCAGATGCAGTGAGGATAGGGGCATAGGCACTGCATGACATTAACGTTTGCTAGGGCACAATAAAGAGTCATCATAAGGCTTCCTATATATGTTATGATAACTGCACAATGTGGCTAACTGCCACACTGAAACATTTGAATTCAAATTTGAATTGCTGACACCTGAGCTGGCACTAAAATTCTCTCAACTTTAATTTTCTTAATTTTTAGAATCATTTATTGTAAAATTGTATTTAATTAGCTGTTCTCTTCATTGCTATTAAGGAAGCTTGCATGAATCCTCCACCCCTAATAGGAACCATCTGGCCATAAGAAACAAAACTTAGCATGTAAATGAAAAAAATTTCAGGTTTGCAGTTTGCCATTGTACTTGATGCTCAACGACAGACAAAGTTAATTTACACCAGTGGCAGTTTTACATTGGTACCAAAGGCTAGTGGAGCCAGCGGTTCAAATTTAATTTGAGAATGGCTGCATTTGATCTTTCGTCATTAGATAAGTGACACCGTGTCCCTCAGATTGATTGACCTGCTTAACGTCATAACTTCACATGGAGATTTGCAAACAAGGATGGATAATGTAAGAGGCCTGTGTCAATTATGCATCTTTTATTCATGCCACAACAATACGTCATATAGTTTGTTTTCCTTGCCTCTGCTTCATGTATGAAACTTCTCTTTTAGGTTTGCCTTTGTTATTTTTCTAGAGACTTATCAGAATATCTCTTGGTGTTATCTGTCTCCACCTACCTGTCCATCAAACGTAGTTGGTGGTAGGCAAGTCTCAGCAGTAGCCATCTAGGCATTGTTTCCAACAACCTAGGCTCTTGTGGCCCACTCAGTGGATACTCCATTTTTCCTCCTGCATCTTACTGGTCCCAGTCTTGATTCCTGTAGACCAGGGGAGGGCAACTCCAGGCCTCGAGCGCCGGTGTCCTGCAGGTTTTAGATATCACCCTGGGTCAACACACCTGAATCACATGATTAGTTTGTTGCCCATTACGGCTTTTACTATACTGGTCTACTTGATTTTCATAGTTTATTCAATCTTTATTATTTATTTTTTATATTTTTGATTTTAAGTTATTACAGTCAGAATGTACAGGACCGGGGGATGGGAAAGAGAAAGAATAAGAAAAGAGAAGTTGGGAAGAAAGTTAACAGAAGGAAAGGTGAAGAGAGCCAGTGAAACACAAGCAAAACAAAAACAACACAGCAACAATCAACTTAAGCGTCACCCAGCAGCCACAGTGTAGAAGCCTGTGGCAGCTGTCTGTGCCAGAGCAGACCAAGCTCTGAGTCCACAGACCCGAGACCCAAAGGCCCCCCAGCAGGGGCCCGACAGAGCTGCTAACCCTATCCCAGGCAGGGTAAACCGTTCCCTTGCTCTATTACTCATCGTAGGCATCTAAATCGCTTCTCTGGTCCTTCAACCAGGACCAGTTTGCCTTGGAGACCCTAGCAATATATGAGTTAACCTGCTTTACAAGTAGGCTGGACCCTGGCCTTTCTGTCTGTCTCTCTGGACGGCAAAAAAAATCAGGCGAATATTACTGCCCACAGTAATTCTACCATCTGAACTGTTAAAGTATTAAACACCTTGCATTTAGTCATTCCATAACGGGTTCTTTTTCAAAGATGAGTAAGAAGTGTGAAAATACTGTTGTACACAAAAAAGAAAACCAAACAAAAAAACTGCCTGTTTTTGTGTAGAATCAAGACTCAGGGCTGAAAATAACTCAAGGACTGTTTTTACCATCTCTGAGCAGCAAATAATGCAATTGTTTGTTTAGAGTGACGATGATAGACTTAAGGGCACTGGCATTAACCATAAATCAATCAGAATCAGAATCAGAATCAGAATACTTTATTGATCCCTGGGGGAAATTATTTTTTGTTACAGTGCTCCATTTTAAACCAACATTAAGACAAGACAGACAATACGCTAACTAAGAATAGTACAATATATACATATATATACATACATACATACATAAGTCACTTATAAATAAATATTTGGAAAAGAAACATGTGTAGTTGTAGCAGCAAACAGTGTGTTAAGTGGATGCGTTGTACAGGGAGATAAAGACTTCATACTCACAGTGGAGCACAGGTGGAGTGGTCTAGAGTACTTGACTTGTGTATCACTACAGTAGATCTAAACACTCAATATATATTACCAGCTTTTCACCAGTATGTCAGTTGTGGCACTGGTACTGGAGCTATTTTATGAAGATGCCTCTAATGCAGATGCACTGGCTCTTTTTCTTATGGAAGCTGAGACCCTTCAGTCAATGCAGCAACAGGACGATTTTCTGTAACTCGGTTTTGGCAACTGTGATGAACTTTGCTGTGGTCTGCTTGAAGAGCAGCATTAGAGCTGGTGACTGAATAAAGGTAGCTCTGTGATTGGCTGCAAACTGGACACTTTTAAAGATGTGTTGGAATGAACAAAGTGTTCTCCATCACAGTGGAGCTCCTTCTCTGACATGCTGACTTAGCTCTGCTGACACAAGAAGACATCAGACAGGAAATCATGCGTGCAAGTTGTTATCATCCTCTATTTTTGATATCATCCCATGATTGTGGCAGCAGAGGGTTTATTGCTGCTGTCATCTAATAAAACTTAGGGAGGGGAGGGGGAAGAGTGCTGACTTACTGAGTTCTAACGTGACAAAGGATTTTAGATGGTTCCAAAAATAAAATGTCAGTGTTGCCATTTTGGCAAGTGTTTGTAAGTATTGTGTAACTTTGTTAGATGTGGGTACCACAGTTTAGGTAGTTAATGAGAATGACTTCAAATTTATTTACATAATCAGGCTTCTTCTATTTCTGTGCCCATCAGTACTGTTTAAAAATAACAGTAATAGAAAGTTAGAAAGAGAGGCTGCTGGCTGTAATAATTCCTCAGTTGTAAGCCATCAGTGTGTCTATGCACACTGTACAAGGTCAGTGGAGCTGCCATCTGATTTCCACCAAGAGGGTTAATGTGGAGGAGCAGAAAACTGAATATGAGTGCTCCACCTCTCCCCTTGTTGGTTCTTTGGTCCTTACATTCACATCAAAATAACATCCACTCTGCTTTCTCCTTCCCAGCATGTACATTCTGCCTCAGCCACAAACGCAAGCAGTCTACTGAACCACTGAGAAGCCATCCTTCAAGGTAAAGATCACAGCGCTACCTCACTGCTGTTTTGCAATTCTGTGGAAAACAAAAACTTAAGCAAATAGCTGCAAACTGTGTCTACTTGATACAAAACACAGTCTTCGTAGCATGCACATTTCAGTACACATGAACATAACTTTGCAAAGACAAGAAAACATCTAAAAGTATAATTTTGGAATACATTTTCTAAAACAAACATATTGTTAAATGTGAGTACTGTCTGTTCTCTGTGCTCTAGGGAGAAAAACAATCTTTGACAGTTGTTTTGAAAACAGTTGGCATCAATTTGAAGTGTACACAATTAGTTATTAATACATGTAAACTCACCAGTGGAATCCTTCAAGGTGGAGTATTCATCATCAGTAATAAATAAATGCAAATCAGTTGTGCTGCAAACACACTCCTGTGAGGAGCCGTGTTAAAGCAAATGGCTCATTCAGAGTTTGTGAACTGACAGTGCTTCAGGCTGAAGCCTCAGTAATTCACTCAGTGACTTTCATTCTGAAGAGGAGGGAGACCAAGCCCGACAGGAAGGGAGGGAGGCTCAGAACTCATAGACAATCAGCCAGATAATAAGAAGGATCACTATCATTACGTCTATAAACAGCATCTAATCGGTGCAGTATGCAAGCATTACACTCTAGTGTTTTGGTGGAGTACTGAGTAATAATAATAATCTTATTTTTCTTCTTGTTATTATTATTGTTATTATTACCACAACCCCTTCATTTCCTTCATGGTCTAAGCAAAAACGCCCAGAGCTCCTTCTCTCTAGTTGCCTCATCCAGGTTATCCAAAGAAACACAGGCATTTCCAGGCCAGCCAAGACATACAATCTATCACAAGCACCTCACCGAAAAAGCATGCTTGTAAAATGCCGGAACCAACTTGTCTGAGTTCTGTTAATGTAGAGGTTTGGCACTCTACACTATTCGAGCCCCACTTGAATGACTGCACTCTTCACTCTATCTCTTTTTTTTTTTTTTTTTTTTTTTTTTTTTTTTTCTAAATGACATCAGAAACAGCAGTATGCGACATTACGTGATGGCAGAGCTTCAGTTCATCCTTTGTCATTTTTTTTTTTTTTTTTTTTTTTTTTTAATAAATAGGACAGGGGGAATGAATGAGAGAAAGAAAGAAAACCAAAGGGGAGAAGAGACGGTGAGAAGGGGGGGAAGAGAGAGAAAAAAAAAAGAACTCCTGGGTCACCTGTATGGAGAAAAAAAAAACAAACAAACAAAAAAAACAAACAGAGGAGACAGCAAACAACAAAGAGCAACATAATAATAGAGAAAACAAAGCACCATCACAATAAACTAGCTAGTCATAGATATCAATATTTACTAAATAATAAACGATATTGTGCAGCACGCAAGATAGACAGCGCACAGTGTGCTTTGAGGCAGCAGCCAAGAAAGCTTTAGTCCGCGTCTGTGAATACCCATGTGTGCATACCTGTGTGGATCAGCATGCTTGCATTCCAAAGGTTTCTCCATGTAATGATCTGCTAGGGAGTGTGGGGGGGCCACAGCCCCGTCCTCCAGGGTGTGAAGCAGGTATGGAGGAGATCAAAACTCCAGACATCCAGAGGCCCCCAGAACACAAGAGACCATGGAAGACCAACAGAGGGGCAGCCGCGCCACTGTTCCAGTAAGAGCTGAGGAGAGTCCCAGATGAGGGCTCGCCCAGCAGCCGCGGAGCAGAAGTCAGGGGGAGTTGCAGTGACGCGCCCGTGAGCTCCGCCGGCCCCCAGCTGTGCCTGAGTGACCGAGTCCCAGGCCGAGAGGCCGGGGGCACCCCACCTCCAAAGGGGCCCGAGCGAGCCCCAGGCCCCAGGCCCCGACAAGCGGCCGCCAAGGAGTGAGCCGGTGTGTACCCGGACGCCCACCCCCAGACACAAAGAACCACCAACACACCGACACCTGAGGGAGTCCGCCACCGGCAGGGGAAGTGGTGGTGGGTGGAGATAGGCCTCCAAACCTTGGAGGGCCTGAGGTGTCCCCAGAGAGGTGGTGTCTGATACCCAACCTGACATATAGACACAGACATACGGGCACACACAGATACAAACATCCATTCCCCCCCTCATGCTCTCATATGCACTCACTCCACACTCAACCAACGTGGAGACAGACATAAAGAGACGCTGTACACACAATCACACTCCCCAAGCGTACTCTACAAACCGGGTCTAGGTACCCTTGCCCCTGGAGGGGGGAATTGCACCCAGACCCAGGTGGTGTTACCCTTTTCCCTGCGGTGGGGGGAGGCAGACCACCCCGACTCCGCAGCAGCAGGGAGGCCCCACACTCCAGACCGCAGTCGGACGGCCAACTCCTCCCCTTAGCCCCCTGCTCCAGCAGGCCGCAGAGAATGGGGGTGGGAGAAGACTCCAAACCTCCCTCCACCCGCTCATTGTAGTGTTGATGCATGTGTGTTCTAAGGTGCAATTAAAACCCAGGAGGGCATGGAGCTACCTGCCAAGGAGCAGCAGGTAAGCGCATAGTCCCTCCTGCTAGCCCTCAATGTCTACGTGTATTTAAAATTGAGAGGTGGGCAACGACGTCAGGGGTGAGGTGTACACCCTGATGGTAATTTGGACTCCGTGATTGTGCCCACCCCCAAGATCCTATATGTATGTGTAATGAGAGTGTGAATAATGTGAATGTCTAACTCTATCTCTAAGGGAGAGGCCAACCACCCTTCAGAGAAAGCAGATTTCTGCTGATTATATATTCTCAGTCTTTCAGTCACTCAAAACTCATGAGAACAGGGATGTAGATCGACTGGAAAATATGCTTTTACACTGGGCTCTCTCTTCACTACAGTGGACAGTGCTACAGCTTCAGTGTCACTGCAGCTGTAGTCTCAGTCCATCTGTTAATCTCCTGCTCCCTTCTCACTTGTGAACACAACCCTGAGATGCTTAAACTCCTCCACATTGGGCAGCCACCCATCCCTGAACTTTTTTCTCCCTACTTTGTGTCTGACCTCCTTTACTGTACACCTTTGATGATTTGATGAAAGCCCAATTGGGATAACCACATGCTTTAAGATCTCCTGAACCCAAAACCTCTTCTGATAATGACCCACACCCATTTTCACAACTTGGCTCATGTGATTAGGTACATGGTCAATAGTGGGTCAACACGCAGGACCGGGCTCAGCTGTATGTCATAGGAGAAACTCCACCAATTTGTCTTAGAACTGAGGAAGCTTCTCAGATGAAAGATGAAACATTTGATTTTCCAACTCAGAAATTTCATAGGCGGCAGAAACATCTGATCCACATTTGTAGAGCTATCCATATTCATCATGTGTTTTTTGATTAAATATATGGTTGACTCAACGCGGTCCAGCTGCCTTTCTTCTCCAGCTCCTTAGATTTTTTAATGTGATGAAAATGAAATTTTACCTCTCACAGCTTTAACTTTTTCCCAGAAAACAATTACTGATGTTCCAGGCAGATCATTGTAGTCTACATATAAATCCTACAGTTTAAAAAAAAAGAATTAATCTTTAAGCAATGATGTTTTAAATCTCCAGTTTTTACTTGGTGAAATAACCTTATTAAAGACACAGGAGCATGATCACTGACAGCTATAGGATGTTTCTCAGTGTGTGAAATGTCACATTTTGTCAGGCAGCGCTGCGTGGCAGGCAGGACTCAGACACAAGGGATGAACTCAAAACCACAGCTTTGTTTGCTGGCACGGGGAAACGAGCATACAAAGCAAACTAAACTGGGAAATAACAAACTAAACTCACAGGGAGATCCACACAGCATGAGGGACGACACCAACTCAGAGAAACACAGGGTTTAAATACACCGGGAAGTAACGCGGGGAATGAGACACAGAAGGAGGGCACAGCTGGGAGAAATCAGAACTGACGAGGCAAGGAAGCAAAGCAGGACACATTCACATTAGACACGGACCTTCAAAGTAAAACAGGAAGTATAACACAGAGATGCGAACTTGACACGGTGGAGACAGCAACTAAGAAACACAGAAACATAAACCATAAGCCAGAGGACTCTAAGAACCAAGGAGGGAAATACTGAGCAGGGAACACAAGAAACTGGACTCGAGGGAGTAACAAAAGACCAACCATGAGAACATAATTCACAATACAGAGTGACAGAAAACACAAGAAACTCAAAACATGCAAAGACACAGACCAAGAAACACGGACTTTACACAGAACAGAGGGGGCACAGAGAAACATGAGGGGCAAGGGATCAAAACTAGAAACCATAGAATAAATCACACAAGTACTCGACCAAAACACAAAAATCACACAGAATTAAAAACGCTGGGTCAGGAGACCCAGGATCCTGACACATTTAGCTGCTGACTAGAAAAGAATCCAGATGAGAGTTCAAGTGATGGACATGCAAACTCGGGTGAAGAGATTATCCCTTCTGAAAAGATATCTATAAACGTAAATATTTGGGACAGGGAAGAATGAGGATCCTGAAGGAGTAATAGCACATCATCTGCATAAAAGAGAATTTTGTGTTCTGTGTTAACGTTTGAAATCCCCTTAGTATTGTTATTGTATCTCATAGCGTAAACTAGTGGTTCAATGAGTAATGCAAATAGAGATGGAGCCACAGGACATCTTTGCCTGATAGCATTCAGGAGAGTGAAGCTGACATTGACCTGTCAGTGGTGACTGCCTTTGGGGATGTGTAAAATGCTTTTATCCAACCAATAAAGGATTCTCCAAACCCAAATTTTTCAAGTGCTGCAAATAGAAATGATTGAACTCTAGTATTGCTGAATTTGTGAATATCTTCCATATTTGGTTCATGGTCAGAGGTGTTTATATAAAAATCCCCCCCACCCCCCTAAAAAAACCAAATTTTTATTCGCAGAACTATGGGAAGACTTGCTGAGTCCTCGATAACTGTGCTTGTTGTTGGGTTGTTGTTGTTTTTTTTGATCAAGTATGTTTGTCAGATATTTACCAGAATTATTATTGTATTCAATGTT